TAGACCCTGAACATGGCCCATTAGGATTTCATGTCCCAACATCCCCCAGGACATGTGAATAACTTTCCTGGCGATGTCCGTTGAAAACCGCATGGACCGAAGTCTCTACCAGATGATCCCAATTAACCCTCACTATGCAGTGGGGTTTACTAGGTCTCTCTGGCAGCCTCCCCCGCCACCGGATCCAACTCATTACCAAATGGTGATCAGTTGACAGCTCTGCTCCTCTCTTCACCTAAGTGTCCAAAATATAGGGCTGCAGGTCTGAAGACACGATTACAAAAAACATCATTGAATCTTTCTGGTGTCCAGTCCATCACAGGGACACATGAAGACAGACAGCCATTCTCTCTCACTCACACATAGAGACAATTTAGAGTTACCAATCAGTCTAACATGCTTGTTTTTTGTTCTGTGGGAGGAAACCGGAGTACCCGGAGAAAACACACGCATGCACGAAGAGAACATGTAAACTCTGGCCAGAATGGTCCCTGGCTGAGATTTGATCCGACGACCTTCTCACTGAGAGGCAACAGCTCTACCAACTGAACCTCATACTCTTTTTCTTCCATCATGCTAAAATGAGGCTTATAGCACATCATAATCAAATCAGACAATGAGCTTGTTGCTGTTTTTTTTTTTTTTTGTCACAGATGAATTCATTGTGATGCGGGCAAATCTGTTGGTGGCTGTCATCAGCCATATGCTGCTGCTTCAGTAGCCTGCTCTGTCTATCTTGCTTATTCCGCCAGTTTTGCTACAGTTGTAGCTCACCATTGAACTTTGTGAGGACTGAATAAAATATTTACAGTATACAGTATAATCCAAATTTAAACACTCCGACTGTAGCAGCACTCAGCTCCCCCATTGTCCGACCCATGAACACAGACAGAAAGAAACAAACTTGTTCGCAAGCCTCTCTTCAGGCTGATTAATCCAAACACTCTCACTCAAAAGCACCTGAAATGTAGCAGAGCTGGAACAATGTGTCAACACACAGACATGTAAACACTCGAGGTGCAGTCAGGGTTTATTCGGTTAACTTTTTTCATGTCATTTTCTGTTTACTATTGCCATGGAATCATCCTAATGTTTTTAAACAGTAACATTTGCAGGCAGCCATATCAGAATGTAGAATCTAGTTCTTGACATTATCTCTGTATACATGGAGGTATTCTTGATCTAACACAGGTCTCTTTCTGCAGGGAAACCAGATCCTGAGCAACCTCTCTCTGGATGAGTACAAAGTCACTCTGAAGATGATTGAAAGGGCAATCCTGGCCACTGACCTTGCTCTGTACATAAAGTAAATACTAAACATCAAGCTCAATTGGAAAACTGGCTGCAGAATGGGGGGAAGGGGAGCCTAAACATTGTCAGATAATCACAATAGTTTGTGTCCCCCGTCGCAGATCAGAGGGAATTGACACACACTCAGTCTGTCTGTCCATGCATGTTGTGAGCATGTTAAATGGTAAATTGACTGTACCTACTGTATATAGCACCTTTCTATCTAATCAAGATACTCAATGCTCTTTACAACACAATCTGTGCTCTCATTTACCCATTTATACAGCACTTTGTCTTTGGCAGTACGACGTCTCAGTGGTTAGAACTGTTGCCCCACAGCAAGAAAGTCCTGGGTTCAATCCCCGGTTGGACATGTGGTCTTTCTGCGTGGAGTTTGCATGTTCTTCTCGTGCTTGCGTGGGTTTTCTCCGGGTACTCCGGTTTCCTCCCACAGACCAAAAGCTTGCATGTTAGGTTGCCTTCAGGTCCAGGCCACCCTTGCAAAAGAGATCTGTGATCTCAATAGGATTTGCCTGGTTAAATAAAGGTTAATACAAAGACTAATCAGTGCTTTAGATCAGGTTCATACACCGATGGGACATGCATCAAAGGCAATGAGGGGTTCAGTATCTTGCCCAGGGACACTTCAACATATGACTGCTGGTGGAATCAAACCCCCAACTCTCACACTGGAGGACGACTGCTCTAACGACTCAGCCACAGCTGCCACAACTAACTTGAAAAATAAGTGAGGTATCGACTTCCAATTTAGTATGTGGCTACAACTAGGTGTAAGAAAGTTCACTTTCGAAAATTGGGTTGCCACATCAGAATCTGCTCCTTCCCCTGCTTCTGCTCAACCCACTGCCTTTGCTGGCTTGTGTTTCTTGTACGGGCTTTACTGAAATGCAATTTTGTTGTGCTTCAGTGCAATGACAATAAAGGCTGATTCTGATTCTGTTCTTCTACACAGTGTAACCCATACCCACTTAAATTTCCATCCATCCATTATCTTTTACCCGCTTTTTCCATTTTAGGTCACGGGGGTCGCCGGTGCCCATGTCCGGCAATCACTGTGCGAGGGGTGGGGTACACCCTGGACGGGTCGCAAGTCCATCACAGGGCCACATAGAGACAAACAAGACAAACAACCATTCACTCTCTCACTCACACCTAGAGACAATTTAGAGTTACCAATCAGCCTAATATGCATGTTTTTGGTCTGTGGGAAGAAACCGGAGTACCCGGAAAAAACCCACGCATGCACAGAGAGAACATGCAAACTCCACCCAGAAAGGCCCCCGGACCGGGATTTGAACCAGGGACCTGCTCGCTGAGAGGCAGCAGCTCTACCAGTTGTGCCACCGTGCTGCCCCCCACTTGAATATCTTGTACCAAAAACATTAGTTTTTTTTTTTTTTTTTTTTTTTTGTTTTTTTTTCATTTAGCCTTTATTTATCCAGGTTAGTCTCATTGAGCCATGAGAACTCATTTTCAAGAGAGACCTGTTTAGGGAGCACATGGTGGGGGTTAAGGGCCTTGCTCATGGGCCCAGAGTGGGGCGAATGAGGGTGGGGGCAAGTGTGGGTGTTTCACCTACCCCACCCACAATTTTGATGTTGTCGGGGCCGGGGCGTGAACCAGCGATCTTCGGATCACAAGCCCACCTCTCTAACCTCTGCGCCACCACTCCCCACTCTCGGGAGAAACTTGCATCTCCCCTGTTCAATTCCAATACAGAAAAACACTCATCTCCAAAACTACAAACATTCACTCTTCAAACCCCTTAGCGACGGGGGACATTAGGTTGTTCTTCTTTAATACATTGTGCACAGTCATAATTATTTTGGGAGGTGGTTTCTTCCTCTAAACCTGATCAATGATGTGTGTTGAGGGATTTGGTATGAAGCTCCCTTCTTATGATCTGATTGTGTAAATGTTTGTGTTGTCAGGAGGAGAGAGGAGTTCTTTGAGCTCACTAAGAACAACCAGTTTGTTTGGGAGGATGAACATCATAGAGAATTACTGAGGTGAGCCAAAAATCTCTTCTTCAAACAGAAACCTCACTGGCGACACACAGTCATGTTTGAATAAAATGTTTGGACATCGGATGCATTGGCGTCCCAACAACTATATGTGAAGGTGACATGTCCCCCTCACATTTAAAAAATATTTATTTGGACCCCCCCCCCCCCCCAATTTACCTTGAAATATTAGTTCACCTAGCACTGTTTTTATTGCTACATGAACAAATCCATTCCACTTGATTAATAGGAGAATACCCAAACCACTAGAAGTCCACTCCGGGTTTCCTGGTTACCAACAACAACTCACCACACCACAAGCAATGTTTCCACTAGATCACTTGACGAGGCAGGGGAAGGAGGGAGAGACACCTCTGTCTTGCGCCATGTTAGTGCCAGCGGTTCTCACCAGGAGGGTGTTAGGATGCATGAGAGAAGCAGAGCATGCTCTATTCACACAAGGGGAGCTGTTGGTCAGGCTATGACACAACCGCATTCTGTGTTTACATGTAACCGTAGAACACCCCCCCCCCCCCCCGAGTCTACTGTAGTTGCCATGTCAGGTCATTAGTTGGTGTTGTGAATTTTGTACATTCACATAAGGATCATGCACGCTGCCTGGGACTGCTCTCAGTAAGGACTTACCTCTGGGATGACCAAAGCCCAGGTAACAACAAGCCAGATTTCAGAGAGTTGATGGATTTGACGCCAAGCGGGACCGTTTCTTCTAAAAGCTTGACACCGGTTGCTGACAAGAGCATTGACGAGACTGATGTCGGGCTTCCTACTCCATTTTAATCAGTAGCCGTCGGTATACTGAGCTACTACAGCAGATAAATCCATGTACTTGATAATGTTTGCTTGTGTTGTTTGGTACACAAACAACTAACTGAGTTTTAATTTTTATTATTCCTGAGAGGAGAAGCTATCCTCCCACCAGAAGGACCAGTTCTGAAATGCGTACACCTCGACTATGCAAGAGAACCGCGATGAGAGAGATGTTGGAGCAACTATTCACTTAAAATTCCCCTCAGTTCTTTTTTCCAATCCATTCAGTGTTTTAAGTTACATTAATCAAAGCAGCGACAGCCTGTACAAGCCAGATAAACAACATGGCATCAGTATCCAGGATGACAACAGAAAGGAAGGGTTCATTAATGTAGTTTACAGTTCAGTTAATGTGATTGTAATACTGTTTAGTTTTCTTATCAGTGTTTGTGTGACATACAGTTTGTGGTGTTGAATAAATAAATAAAAATTAAATCCAATTTCTTAATTTTCAACTTTAGCAACATGTGTCCTAGTAGTCAAGATGGTGTTGGTGTGTAGGGCTTGCCGTACATTGCTCTCTGCTTTGGTTTTGTTTTTATTAGTTGTACAGTGTGTTTTGCAGTGTGTTGACGCATATCTGCAATATGATAGTCGGGCACTTTTGGAGCTCCGTAGTTTTGCAGAATTACCTGCGGAGCTTCTCCACAGCGGTCGGGACTCTCTCCCTTCAGTCCTGTCCGGGACACCTGCCTTCCAGCTTCGTGACCCTGGCCCATTTCCACGGAGGAGATGCCGCAGACGTCGGAGAAAGCACGCTGGAGTTTTGGTGAAAATGAGGCACCGTGTGGATTATTCTGCCAAGGATGCTGGGGCTCATTCTGGATCTTGATCTATTCCTCGCCTCCCAGACCTGTCTGGGGCCCTGCTGTTGGCCAGCTACCCGCACGCCCTGACCATGTAAAAAATAGGAGTTGTCTACCGGCGCGGTGCACGACCCGACCTGGAGGTGCTTATGTTAAAAATCTGTGGCTGCTGGCGCACGCTCCCTCCACCGCTGCTGGGTTCACTTTGGACTGTATCAGGATGTGTTTGGTCAACGCAAGATTCGTTACCAACAAAACTTTTATCCTCAGGGACTACTTTCAAGAGTACAATTTGGACTTTCTCTACGTCACAGAATCTTGGATCTCTCCCGATGAGTCCAGCGCCTTGAGGGAATTATTATCCTCGGACTGTCTGTATTTTAACGTACTGCGGCCATCAAGCTGGCACGGTAGTGGACTATTAACAATATTCAAATCAAAATTTGACTGTAAACAACTGGCCATCCTGGTTTCCTGCTCCAACTTTGAGCTGAGCGTCTTTGAACTCGGCCATTTGCCTTTGACTCTGTACGCACTTGTTTACTGCCCCCCTCGATTTCAATTATTTCATAAATGAATTCTCTGACTTCTTGGCTGAAATCACACCGAAATATGTTCATGTATTGATTTTTGGGGACTTTAATATTCATGTTTGTTGTCAGGAGAAGCCCTTGGTTAAAGACTTTTTAGATTTATTGGACTCATTTAATTTAACTCAGCCGGTAAACGGTCCCACCCAAGAGCGTGGGCACACACTTGACCTTGTTTTAACACGTGATGTGACAGTTAGCAGTTTTGAAATCTGCAATAATGTAAGGAACTCTCGTGAGGGTTTGGACCAAGATCACAACACAACAAAATGACGATAAATAATAAGTGTTTATTGTTTCTAGGAAGGAAGTGACAGCTGGTCTTGGTGCTGGTCTGGGTTCTGGTTCTGGTGTCGGTTAATGGCAGGAACAGTCTAAGAAGCAGAGAACGGTTAGTGGTCGTGCGGGTAATCAGAGCGAGGAAAACAGTCAACCAGAAAAGGCCACTAACCGTCTCAGATGATCTTAGGGGTCCTGAAGGGTTGAGGTAGTCAGGTCTGCAGCTGCCGGAGGAGCTGAGTCCGGTGAAGGACGCCAGTCGGCCGCAGCTGTCTGCGTGGCCAGAGTCCGTAATCCAAGAGGGGAGGTCAGGCTTTCCTAGGTCCAGTAACGTGAGGCAGATGTCAGGCAGTACCAGAGAGACAGGCAGATCGGTGGTCGTGCAGGCGTGGGTCGGTACCAAGAGCAGAGGCAGAAACAAATCCAAAAGGGAAATCCAAAGAGACGTGGTCGAGGCAGGCGGAGGGTCCAGGAACCAAGAGATCAGGCCAAACACGAAGGGGAGGACAACCAGAAAGAGGGACAGGTAGCGTGGTGGGCAAGACAAGGAGCGAGGACTTGAACAGGGACAAGAGAGGGGAACAAGGACTACAGGCATGAACGCGAGATACCTACTAACTACTAAGAGTGTTCAACTATCGGGCACCGAAGAGTTGACAGGGTGCTGCTTATAAAGGGTGGAGAGAACAGGTGCAGCCAGTCTGAGATAATCAGGCCAGCTGACTGCAGTGCAGACAATTAGTGCAGTCAGCCTTCACCAACATGCAGAGTGGACAGACTGGTTCTCCACATACACACACACACACACACACACATGAGAACCAGGTAGAAGAAGATAAGGAGTGAGGAGGAAAAGAACAGAACAGGACTGAGAAACCAGAACTAGAGAACAGATTGATAAAGATCTAAATACAGGGACGTGATTCATGACACAATAATGTGTTTTCAGACCACATGCCAGTCCTGTTTGAGTTCACCTCCCCCATCTAACTCCTAAGCCGTGTGCTCCTGCACATCGTAGCCGGGCCATTAACCGCTTCACCTCCACGTATTTCACAGATGTTTATAACTCTGAATTTATAATTCAGCTCCCAGTGTTTCTCACCACCACTGAGGAGCAAACATCCCAGTTCACCTCTGTCTGCTTAAAGGCTCTGGATCATGTTGCTCCTGTAAAAACCAGAAAAACGAAACTCAGATCAGAACCTTGGCTGAATGATGTCACCAAGGCCGTTAGACAACAGTGCAGGAGGGCAGAGCGCAAGTGGAAGAGAGACAAGCTGCAGGTCTCTTTTCAAATACTAAAAGAGAGTCGGCGTCGTTATCAAAAAGCAGTAAAAACTGCTAAATCTAAATACTTTTCTGATATAATTATAGCCAACTCTCAAAACCCGCGTGTCCTCTTCTCTACCCTAAACTCAGTTCTCCACCTCACTGAACCATCACCTCTGGAAGCCTTAAATGAGCTGTGCGAGAACTTTCTTCATTTCTTTTTAGAAAAAATTGTGAACACCCGGGCTCTCATTTCTCTTCCAGCTCGTGATCTGTCCATCGCATCCCAGTGTGTTGCTGTATTTGACCATTTTGAGCCCATCTCTCTGTCTTCTATATAGCAGGTCATGTGCAGCATGAAATCATCTGGTTCTCCCTTTGATGTGGTCCCCCCTCAACTACTAAAGCAGGTTTTTCCTACTCTGAACCCTTCTGTTCTAGCTATTGTAAATAGCAGTCTATCCTCAGGTGAGGTGCCAAAAACCTTTAAACATGCTGCTGTTCAACCTCTGCTGAAAAAGCCTAACCTTGACCCCTCAATCGTGTCCAATTTCCGACCTGTCTCCAGACTCCCATTTGTTGCTAAACTACTGGAAAAAATAGTTGAGTCCCAGTTGAAGTGCTTCCTGGAGGAACACGCCATCTTAGAGCTATTCCAATCTGGCTTTAAACCTCTCCACAGCACTGAAACTGCCCTTCTGAAGTTTTTAACAACATCTTCATATCCATAGACACTGGTGATTCTGTGTTGCTTGTCCTATTGGACCTCACATCTGCTTTTGACACCATCGACCATGAGATCCTCATTTCTAGGTTAGAGCAGAGGGTGGGCATCATGGGGTTAGCCTTCAAGTGGTTCAGATCCTACCTCTCTGACAGAACCTTTTGTGTCAACATCAAAGATTTTAGTTCAGCATCGGCAGCGCTTAAATGGAGGGTACCGCAAGGGTCCGTCCTCGGTCCCCTTCTATTTTCTTTATACCTGCTGCCACTAGGTGCTATTTTCGGGAAACACAACATACCCTTTCATTTCTATGCTGATGACTGTCAAATTTACTTCCCCCTAAGATACAATGGTACAGGCTCTATTCATCCTCTGCTTGACTGCCTGGCTGACATCAGAGATTGGATGGCTTTAAATTTCTTAAGTTTCAATAAAAAGAAGTCTGAAGTCATGTTGTTTCCTCCCAACGACACAATCTTCAACCACTGCATTGACCTTTCTGCTATAGCCCCGTTAGAGAAACAAAAGCCCCTTATCCAGAGGTCCGGTTCTTGTAGGACCCTATTGGGACTTATTTAGGACAGTTCCGGTGGGACCGGTTTATTTCTGTCTCCACAGTGCCCATAGTTCCCGTTTAGTGGAGGATCATTAATATCAACGCGCCTTATCAGCTGGTGGTGCTAGTGCTACATTAAGCTCTTTACTAACCACCACTAACATGTATTAAACAAAGAAGAGCTGGAAAAGAACAACCAAAATGGATGATCTTGTTTCTGTTTTGAACATTCTGCTTTGCCTGTGGCTTTTTCTCCCTTTTTATG